ATTCGGTAAGCCCCATTCACCATCTGACTCAGGGCGAGATCTCGGCGCAAAACATACGACGTCACGAGGCGAGGCAGTAGAATCCAAAGCTTAGTGTCATTTCCGAAGTATGACTCGTAGACACATTGATAACCGATCGGAGGCAACCACGGGAGTTGCTCTGCAGTCGGAATCAAGTATGTCACACCCACAGAGTTGCAAGCGACAAGCAAAGCTTCTACCGACTTCGCGGTTGAACGCGTTTTCTCGGTTTTCGCCCAAGACTGAGTCACAACACATCAAAGCTTGTCCCCAGGAAGTGCGGGTTTCCGTTCAAAAACCCCCTTTGGAAGAGAATCTTCTTCTTCCGACTCCGCATTAGCTCGGTTAGATCTTCTAGATCGAGTTCGCCTAGACGGAGCGGCTCGGGACCGACTGGACGGCGGAGATCCGAGGTGCAGCACCCTAAACTCCCTTTCCGAATCAACGACCAGCAATCTCTGCGCAAGTTCGAGACCAGTAGAATCCCTTAACGCCTCCCGATGCCTTAGATTGAAGTCGTCTAACGGCTCACCGGTGGTCTCATCCCGAGCAGGAATCAACGTCGTAGCAACCGCTTTCCCTTTCTCTTCCACCGACAATTTCTTTTGTGGACATATCTTACTAACGGCGAATGTATATATTCTACAAGAAAGCCTAGAGAGAGAAGCTAGAGAGATGGGAGAGAAAGAATACCAGAAGAAACGGAGAAGTAATGAGAATGAAGAAGGGGAGCATATTTATAGGCAAGCAAGAGGGGCGTGATTCTCAAAGGCATTAATTAGGTCTACTCGAACCTAGTTGGTCCTAAAAGCCGCTCGCAACTGTTCATATTCCGAGTTAAATGGGCTTCAATTCCCGAGGAACTCCTGGAGCCCGCAACTGTTCACATTCCCTTCCGAGCTCCGAACCAACGACCACGAACGCTCCTGAGATGAGCTCGAGATCGACATTAACAGACATGATTGGTTCCCAGCTGACAGCCTGCGTTCGCGAAAGAAACAATGCTCGAGTCCGCGAATCGAAAGGTCGCTATTTGGGAAAACGACACAGTGCATTAACTGACCCCATTATTTTATAAGTTAACTTGACTAAATACGCTCCGATTAAGATCATAATTCGACAGCGGATCTGGGGGACTTACTGTAGGTCGTGGAATGCACTTCCTCGCCAAGCCCATACAATAACGGGCTCAGCCCAAACGAATTTAGGCCCAACAGGAGAGCTCTCCGACGATTAGCAGTAAGTCGAGCTTAGCTCGGCTAATCCCCGTGATAAACCGAGTTAAGGGTGTTTAGGCAAGGCGCCTGAATTAGCAGGCTGACCAAGGCCCATTTGGCGGAAGCCCGCAAGAGTCACGATAAGTCTGCTAGGTCAAGGTGTAACCACCGAAATCACACTCACACTCAAGGCGGCTAGAACTAGGGTTTTCACTCCTTTTTTTCTTTTCCGACTTGTACGGCACGGCGGAGCTCTTCGTGAGACTCCGCCTCGCCTCTCATTTCCCTATTTGTAAACCGAACTCTCTTATTAATACAAACACATCTTTGACTCAAAATAGTAAACAAACGCCTTTGAAATAACCCACCGACGAGTCCTGTCACTCATTCACTGAACAGACCGAACTCGGTTCAAACACCCTCCTTCTCATAAACAGGAGGCCGAGGGCGATGGTGCCAAGCGGGTTAATCTGGAAACAAGTGAGCACTCCGATCCGTCGAAAGAGGAAACCGACATCCATTCAAGGAGAAGAAAAGATCGTAACATTCGGCGCAAATCTTCTCTTGAGGATCCTCTGACCAAAGGGGAAGAAGAAATCTTCGGTGACGGCGAAAGAGCAATCCAAGTCACTCGCAACAAACACCGATGAGGTCGGAAAACTGCTGATTCCCATCATAAGATTAACGATCTCCGCGATTTTATCACAAAAACAGCCGCAGAGGTAAAAGCTGTGAAATCTCAAATTCACCACACCACAAGCGCGCCCCCGAAATCGATCGCTTACTCGACGAAGGTCAAAAAATGCCCTTGACTACTCATATCACCAGAACACTGGTGTCCGACCCAGGAAAGATTAAGGTGCCCACTTACAACGGCACCATCGATCCCAAGGCTCACCTGCAAGCCTTTCAGATCACGATGGGAAGAACAAGGCTCCGAAATAGCGAGAAAGACGCAGGGTACTGCCGCCTCTTCGTTGAAAACCTGGAAGGAGCCGCGATTGAATGGTTCTCTCGACTCAAGTGGAATTCCATCGGAATTTTCCGCCAGCTAGCTTCGTAATTTCTCAAGCAATATTCCATGTTCATTAACAGAGAAACTTCCGACGTTGAGCTCTGAAGCAAGGTACAGCGAGAAGACGAGCCTCTCCGCGAGTTCATAAACAGATCCAAACTCTTCATGGCAAGAGTCAGTGGGATCAGCGATAAAGTGGCTATCGACGCACTCAAGAAAGCACTCTGGTACAAGTCGAAATTCAGAAAATGGATAACCCTCGAAAAGCCGCGTACGATCCAAAATGCTCTCTACAAAGCCGTTGACTACATCACATTTCGAAGAGGAGTAAAAATTCTTGTCGCAACAGCATAAGCCGACAAAGACATCCTCGCGGGACGCGCCACCGGATCAGAAACCAAAGAAGAAGAACCTTCATAATGACAAATTTGTCCATCACGAGAGGGAAGATCTTTAGAGTGCGCCCAACTACACCATCAACTCCGGATCCAATCAAGGGCGGACTACGGGTAACACATGGACCAGAAATCTGAATTACGACGAGAATACTTTATGGGACTTCCACCAAACCCACGGCCATTCGACAATCAACTGCAAAGTCCTCGGAGAAAGGTTGGCAGCCAAGCTTCTCGCATGAGAACTCTCCAAAGCGTCCAACGTAAAGAATTTGATCCGCGATTCAGACCGCCCTCCCAGAACGGATAAGCCTCCGCAATCCGAAAAATCTCCTCGAGGAAATCAGTCGGGCGAGAAACGCAGAAGGAGGTAGGACGAAAAGGGGAACGAGAATAGTCGTCGCAAAGTTGACATGATTATCGGAGGATCACAGTTCTACAGCGATACAATCTCGTCTATCAAATCATACCAGCGGAAGGCTGAGACTGCTTCTCACTAGTCGACTCCGCCTCGCGATATCCCTAACAACGCAATCACTTTCAAAGATGAGGAAGCTGCAGGATCAACCAAACACACGCCGATCCCCTCGTCATTCACATTGTGATTAGAGACGTCGAAGTTGCTCAAATCCTCGTAGACACCGGGAGTACAGTCAATGAGGGTAGAACTCGGGGAAATTGAGCCGATGCCAAGTCCCCTGACCGGCTTCTCAGGTGAAACATCGATGACTCTTGGATCGATCAAATTACCCATCACGGCAAAAGAAATCACCAAGATCGTCAACTTCAGTGTTGTTGACCGACCGGCTATCTACAACGTGATTAGTGGCACACCTTGGATAAATGCCACGAAAGCAGTCGTATCAACTTACCACCTCGGCATCAAATTCCCGACACTGTCGGGAATCGCAGTGATTTGGGGTTGCCAGAAACAGTCGCGATCCTGTTTCCTGGCCGTACTCAAACTGAGGAAAATTTCGATCACGTTGGTAAAACCAAAATGGTCAAAGACATGCCCAACACCCGTGTCTGGTCTAATCGAAGACAACCAAATATTGCCAATTCAAGTTGCGGCCGTGGAACAAAACGCTTCCGAGCCTAGCACGTCTACACAACCAGAGGAGATAAAACCGTAAAAGACGTCGACCCGGCCACTAAGATAACCGGCGACGACGCTGCAGTCGAGTAAACACACTCGCAAAACACTATCAGAACTACGAGATGGCTTGATCCCCGAAAAAGGGTACGTACGCAGCTCACCTAAAGACGAGTTCAGATATCCCCCTCTTTAAGAAAGGGAGGGACTCGGTGCGTATCGAGTAATCATATACTCCCATACTTCAAAACATTCGCATTGTACTCTATAGTTTTAAAACATTTCAATAAAGTCAAAGTTAGAATATCGAATAATTTACAATTGAATACGAGAAGAATATTTTTCGCAGAAGTCCAAATCAGAACTTTACGAAAATACTTAGGCTCTAAACACGAACTTCTAACACTTTCGGAAAATCGAAAAAATTCTGAAACGAATCAATCAACTCAACAACGACTTGGTCACGTCCAAAAGACCAAACCTCGAATAAAACTCGAATCCCTCAAACTAAGCTTTTATACTCGCAAACAACATTTTTGGAAACATGAAACGAGACGTCGTTGAAAGTCTTTTAAGAAAATGTTCGCAGTCCGTCCGCGACTTTAAATTTACAAACGCTTGCCGATTGGCCCGTCGTGCACTCTAGCCGTCTTAAACAAACGCACTTAGACCCATCGGTCCTCATACATCCGACTAGGATAAATAGCGTACTATAAAAGAAATCCAGAATTTTGGTCAGCACGGCCGGATGACTTAAAAACTGTCTCCGGTGAGATGCTTGATTCCGATCAGATGAGTCGTATAAGCCAAGAAACTATCGCGGCCTCATAAATCGGTACGGAATCAGGTTGCAATCGCAACAGGCAAAACGAAAGCCAATTAGTCTTGCCCTAAACCCAGCACACTGGTCCGTAGCGTCTCAAGGCATGATACGAGATCCTAAAGGCATGTCTCTTCGTTCATATCTAAAACGCTCTCAAAATCTCAAGCATTCCGGAACAAGAAAATGAATAGGACGATCTACAAAAAAAGAGTTAGATACGAGATGACAACTCGTATTCTTCTCTCTACGCTTAACAAAATAAAAACAATTGACGTAAAAATATTTCATTTAAACATAACTCGAACAAAGCCGTAAAACGACAGGGATTCGAAGCCACCAACGGCCAGTCCCGATAAAAATACGGCCAAACAAGCCCACATACAATCAAACCTAAACAGCCACACTGGCTATAAATACGAGGGAACACTCCCCACTAAAGACAAACATTTCCAGACAGCGACACTCCAAACGTGCTCGCCAGGAAATTCACCTCCTCTTCCTCCCCGGGAACCTCGGTCGTAAACTCCTGCGTATCAGGCGAAATTGGGATGGGATCCCAGAACCCCCGAAGCGTCCCCTCGATCGGGGAAATTAATGCCTCAGCGTGGGCATAGTCTTTCATACCGCTCTCCATTGTCGCCATCTCGTCCTTGAAATTACAGTCGCCCAGCTGCGTCTTCCACAAGGAACCAACCGAACCGCGGCACTCGCGGAAATCACCCACCAAGGAATAATCCTCGCTAAGATGACCAAGCTCAGCCTCAGACTCAGATGCTCGCTGGCTCATCACAGCGACGACCTCCCTCCGACCTCTTCTCTCTGCCCGACGGATGGCCGTGACGTGATTTATAGCAAGCTTTGACTTTCGCTCCATGGCTTCGTTGTGAATGCGAGCAAGATCATTTTCTGCTTTCTCCGCTTTGAAGCGGTAGACCATCGCCTCCCTGTTTCTTGCCTCAAGTGTCGAGCTAAGTACGTTCAGTCCCTGCAAAGACGATCAAAACATCAGAATGCTCCATAACATCGTCAAACAAAAAAAATCAAGACATACAAATTACACTTACCCCATTGATCCTACGGGACCACTCCACGACGGCTTCAAGCGTCTTCCATCCTTCTGCGGGCAGAGGCGGGTCAAGATCTGCAAGAACCGATCAAAGTCAGGCAGAGGCAGATCACTCGAACCACTATCGTTGCCAAAAGCAAGGTTTGGATTCCCATCCAGGAAGTACAAAGTCATCCACAGAAAACTCTATACCGCCAAGGTCGACCCCTTTGCCTCTGAACGATTCAGCCCCAGTTCCTTCAGAAGGGACATGACGGGGGGTAGGATCATCTGAGTCCGAGTCAACATCCTCCCCCACCCGGAAGCCGGAAAGGAAACGATCCAATGACCTGCAGTCCCTCCTTGGCGTAAAGAAGGACCACAAAAACGGCCCATTTCTTAGAAGGTCCCTCGCCACCACCAGATCGGCAGGAAATGGAGCGAGGGGATTGATGTACGGATCAGGTTTCGACGTGCTCCTGAGCAACGGGACACTGCCTTCATCAATCGAATCAGCGTTTATACAGACGAAAAAGAAGAATTTCCTCAATGGACCGCAGTTCAAAATAGGATCCTTAATCACCGACATGTACTTCCGAGGGGTCAACCAGTAGGTACACGGTTCTGAGACATATTGCAACCAAAGAAAGGCCTCGAAGTGATCAACAGTGAGTGTAAAACCGTGTTCGTAGCTCAGAACTAGGAGGCCAATAAGGTGCTGAAGATCGGTGGGGTTTAACTGGCCCAACGCTACCTCGAAGCGATCCAATACCCAGACTATGATCTCTGGAATCGGGAACCATAGACGGCAGCGTACTAAGAATGCCTCGTAACGCGCAAAGTATCTCTCCAGAGGGTTATCGGCACTCTCTCCACGACGAGGAATTTAGAATTCCACAACGATCAAAGTTCCACAAAACTCACGGATCGTCTTGAGAAATGAATGGGAACTTCTACTTGGGGCACCCGCTTCTAGGCCAAGATGGCTCAAAGCGGGGAAGGAGCTTTGGGAGGTGGAACGATCGTGCCACACCTGGCGGTCCAGTACGCCTTGGCCTCTTCTTGATCGACTAGACAAGGCACGAACTCGGCTTTTGGAACAAGGATCTCCTCCTCGCAAGTACCTCCGGATGAGGAATCACGAGCAGAAGCCTTCCTCAAAGTCCTCTTCCTGGAAGACATTTTCCGAACTTTATTTGGAAAAGAGGAGGAAATCTCTTTTTAACTTCTATCTCACTAGAAATTTTCCCTTAAGGAAATAAGCAAGTGGTAAAGATGAAGGTTTACTCCATCTATTTATAGGCAAGAGAAGTTACTTTTTGTCTATCGATTTTTGGATACTTAAATTCGTCCAAACTCATTAATCTTTTCCAAACCGCACGCTAGAATCTCCTCAGCAGTCTACGATTCTAACGGGCTGGGAGGCTAACTGTTGGGGCCAAAAACGGTCATGACGAAGTTAACATCCAAACATCAGATGAAAACACAAAAACGGACGAACCAAGTTGTTACGTAGCAACCTAACCCAAACAAGGAATTAATCGCTACGACCAAGCTCGAGCCAAGCTCAAGCTAAGCTCGGTCACTACGTAGCGACCAAGCATGCACATGTTTGGTCGCTACGTAACGACCGAGCTCGAGCTAAGCTCGATCATTACATAGCGACCGGACTACCCTGAGGATCAACGTAAACCTGAGTCCTTACTCTCTCGTTTACTCTTTGATGCAATCTCCCAAAAGTCACATTTGAACTACAATCCTTTCCTTATCGATCGAGGTTATTGTTCATACTTTACCATAAAATCCGCAGAAAGATTGTTTTTATCGAAAAGAAACCGTAAAAATGTTTCGAGTCGAAACACAGCAAAGAGGTCTAGAACGCGACTAGAAGCCCACTTACGGTTTTTTACTAAAAAGACCATAAATCCTATGATGGTTTATATTTGGCCGGCAAGGGAAGATAAATGTGAAGTTTCCGCGGATAAATGTTAAAGTTCCGAAGATAATCGTGAAGGTCGGGAAAAATGGAAAATCTCCATTTTTGGGTTAAGACGGCTTAAGGGCAGAAGTGGAAAGCGTAAATCGACTTTGGAGGGAGTATATGAGGAGTTCAAGGCAAGAGAGACAAGGAGACAGAAGAAAACTTAGCACTTAAAGCATTTAGGCAACTTTCCGTTTTTGTTATTCGAGCTGCGTCTCAATTAGGGTTTCCGCAGTCTTAGGTTGCTAGAACTAGGATCTCGCCGTCAGCTCTTGTGGCCAGGACTCCTAACTCGTTGTAACGCTCAAACGTGTATTCAGAATAAGACTTATTTTGCTCTCTTTTAATTCGTTTTCATACTGATATTTTTATTTTTGTCTTTTTACTTATCGTTCTTGATTGCTTGGCGTGTGGTATACAGATAGACGGAACCTCTACGTTCCCACAAATATTAAAAGTACAAAATCGATTTGATACATCAGAATTTTTCTTTACGAAAAGTGTATTATTAACTCTTTTCCATTTGACTTACGTACTACACTCAAACAGAGATACTAGTCTAACATGTTCAAGAATCAAACTAACACAAGAACCCCTTATGACCCTAGCCTAAAACATGTTTTTCTCTATACTAGTAAATTTTATGTTAATCTTAGCCAACTTCGTAAAAAAGAGACATTCACAAATCTCCCTTATGAAATATTTCAAATCTTGTTCAAAGTCTTTTAGAAATCTTTCTCTAATGAATTGTTTTTCTTCAAGGTAATCATACTTATCCTCCAAATAACCTTTAGTTCAGCTCTAAGTTGGCTCCAGTTCCAGTCTTCAAGTTAGCTACACAGCTTAGCTTCACGTACACTTGTTGTACTCTTCATATAGTACTTGATGACTGGTATATGGACAGTTTGAGGAGTTTTTTTCAGCTTCTAAAACTCAATCTTCACTACACTAACAATCTCCCTTTTTATGATTGAGTATTAAAATACAACGCTCACAGACTTCTTAAATCAACGATGAATGATTATAGGTTAGACATCATTAGTGATCAAGACTCAAATAACAAAAGAGAATAAGATGAACGGAAGCTAAAGCTTTTAACTTTCACCAAATAGATTCTTTAATTTTAGGTCTAAAAATATGGGTCAACCCATAAAATCCAAGCCGCGACCACCTCCAAGCTGTGGTGGACACCCGCGGTGGTCTTCCCAATCCCACGCCCTCCATTTGTCGTGGTGACAGCCTGTGGGATTCTCTGCTTCATTTGATGAAGAACGACCGCGACCTCCTTTTGCTCGTGGTGGTAGCCAGCGGCGGTAGCCCGCGAGATTTTCTTTCTAAAAGTGTCATGTGCGGCCACAACCACCCTTCAGCCGTGGTGGTTGCCCGCGAGATTCTCTGTCCATCTGCAACATTCTTCACTCCTTTGAACGTTTTACAACTCATTTGGCTCTAAAACTTGATTAACACTTCTCCAAACCTAAAAATACACAAGTGTAATGCAATACAACATAAACAAACCTAAATGCTAGTCTAAATGATCAATATATACACAAAATGATGATTAAGATCATGCAAATATACAAGCTATCACAGAGAACCGAGCCGGGTTCGAGTCGGATCCTTCCGGATCCGGGTGGGTTTAAGTTTTATCCAAAATAACCAAACTACTAGATTCGACTCGAATATTTTATGTCCAAACTCCTCGAACTAATCCAAAATAACTTAAAACCCCCAAAAAATACTCAATTATTTAGTTTAAATTGGTTATTTTTGTCGAAAAGTAACCATATAAATAATGTTATTTGAATATTTTTATCCAAAACATCTATTTTTATCTATAAATACCTAAAATAACTAATATATTTGATTTATAATTTTAATTTAAGTATTAATACTATTATAAATATAATTTTAAAAAAAAATTATATATATATATATATATATATATATATATATATATATATTTGGATATGTTTGGATACTCATACGATTTTCGATATGGTCGAAATTCGTTGTCGATTTTTTGTGTGTTTGAAAAATGGTCTCGTTCGAATATTTAGGCAAGATTCGACCGGGTTGGATATCATATTTTTGGGTAGGTTTGGTAGATATTTCGGGTATGAATATTATGCCCAACCCTAATTCCTATTGCCAGGATCTCACCAACGACTTTGGTAACCATTTCTGATACCGAAAGTGCAAGATAAATCTGATACAGAAAATAACATGTTCAACTACTATGCTTTATTTTTTATTTTATTTTTTTTGATCAAATAACTACTATGCTTTATTTATTTACAAAGTACTATAGCAGAAAAAATAGTGTAAGTTTCTCTTTATAAAGAAAATGTGTATTAATAACTGCCTTTCAAGTTGACTTGTATGTCACAATCAACATGAGACGGACATCTGGGACTAGGGGCTGACGGACATAGAGAGATACGGTGTCACATGCCCCCATCTACTTTTTGAATTTGCTTAATAATTAGCTTGACATTTGTACAAGTGCCCCCAATTCAAAAATATGTAAAATTGTGTATGTCCCCCTAGTTGATTTTGATCCTAGATCATGTCCAGGACCATACCAACATCTGAATCCTTTCGCTGGAGTGAAAGCTAAAATCACGTTGAAAATTAATGTTTGCATATTGGTGCTTACGTGCTCCGATTGATTTGTTAAATGATGTTATGGTGATAGATTCTAGGGCTGGATATGAAAATTAGGAAGTTATAACTATTTTTACATTAATCTTGATAAGAAAATCTTTTTAGTAATTGGTAGGAGCATGCAATATTAGATTTAATAGTTCTTTAAAATTTAAAGGTCAAAGCAAATATTTTATCCGGTTGCCTTCAGAATCGACGAAGTGGAGACCATGCGTAACCAGGAACGACATATATGAAGTGGTAAAATGTTGAAAACAGATAATTAGACTGGGTAGATATACCACTATATGAAGTTTGTAGTTAGTTCCACTTCGTATCTTTATAAATAAAGTTGGGTTATCTGTCTTCTTAGGCGTCCATGTCATCAAGAAGCATGGGGCATTTTGCGCCACGTTAGCTTCTCACAAAACAATTCGTCTCGGCTCTTTCTTGCCATCTAGGTCTTGACATCATGCAAATCCCAATGAGTGTTAGGGTTCTTCTTCCTCTCTTATTCCTGCCGCGTCTTCTCTCTACGACCGCTGGCTGACTAAACCTACGTCGATCCCAGTCCTGTAACATCTTTGTCTCTCATTATTACTTGCTTAACTCTGGGTTTTACCATCATTAGCCTACTCTTCCGCGCATTCAGTCAACCTCTTTGCTAAAGTAGATACTGTAACATACCTTGGTCTGAACCTCTACCATCGGTTATGTGCAGGATGTCAACATTTGCGTTAGTTTGTTTAACGCTTTAGCTCTTACATTTAATAGCAAATTCGTTACCTATGGTAAAGACCCAAGAGTTGTTCTTCTCACTGCATAAATCCTAAGATTAATGGGGGTAAGATGGTATTTGTTTACATTTGTTATTTCGTTGGATCATAGGTTATCCAGTCCGTGTTCCAAATTCTCTATTTTGTACATCTCTTAAAAAAAACTCTTATTTCATTTTCACAGGAAACTTATATCTCAATGGATCTTCTGCCATACATATTTTGTTCTAGCAACCGATGGCGACTTCAAGGTTTCCTTGCTTCTACAAACCTTATCTACGTTTACTAAACATTTTTACTTTTTACGATCAGACGAGCGTTTGGGAATGTTGAGATACTATACGTGATGTAATCTTTTTTTCTGAATTGAAGAATTGAGTAATCGTTCAGACTAAAGATAGAAACCTTAGTAGCTCAAGAATGATTGTGTAGCGGCATCTTTTTGGTTTTTCCTTGAAATTGTAGTATATAAAATGGACATGTCCGTGTTCATTAAAGACTAATACCATAAAACCAGAGTAGAAGTTTGATTAATTGTTACGTGATTTTTGTAGAAGAAAAAGAAGGAAAAGCTAGCTGAGATTAAGTGTGGATTGGACGAAGCTGATGTATTGGTATTTCCATTTATTTTGCTTTACGTGTAAATTTTTTTATTGTTATCTTCTCTTAGAGAAACTTACATAGCTTCTGTTTTTTTTTCTATCTTGAGAGAAGAAGTTTGTAGTCGAGTTCTAATGTTGGGTGTATTTCAAACGAGTGTCTTTGCCAGATGCTAACCA